CGCCGCTTCAACCTCTAAAGACGTCTCAGTGATGGAGTTTCGGAGACGACGAAGAAAACTCTTTTGTGTATTGGAGGAATTAGGGTTATCTCGAATAAGACTTTACAATATTTATAAACTCGCCCATCCACTTCTTATATATTGTTATTTACCCCTCAAAGTTTTTATTTTTACAATTCTGTCTCGTCTTCGTCGTTATCTGACCGGCCGGTGTCGGAAGGGTTTTGAAGCGAAAAATTAAAAAAAGGAAATTAAATGATTTTTGTGGAGGAGCGGCGCACGGTAAGAAGCTTTACTACATGGCGTACGTTAGTAATATCGGCTTCTTCCCGTACCGCCTGTGTCCACTATCTTGCGCATATCTTCTTTTACCTTTCTCCATCTTCCCCATCGTACTGGATTAGGGTTCTTCTTCGAGAACGAACTCTTCCTCTTTCCTCGTGACGAATGTTTCCATACTATTAGCAGCAGCTTTTAAGGATTAGACTCTGAAGAATTTTGAAACCTTGTCTTAATCTTCCGAATCTCTCATGGATCCTTCAAGAAGACAACCGAAGGACTCGCCTTACGCAAATCTCTTCGATCTCGAGGTCTGTTAGGTCCCAATTTTTTTTTGGCTAGCTTTTCCTTAAATTATGATTTTTTGTTGAGTTTTCTGATGGTTTGTACATGTTTGATGATCATGTCACTGTGATGAATGTGGTTTTGGTGATTGGAATCCATGTTTCTATAGTGGGTTTTTGTTTTCTAATGTTGAAATTTGGTGGGATTTTCGTGTGATTCTGGCTAAAATTATCACTCTTGCAGCCATTGATGAACTTCAGACTTCCGAAACCTGAAGATGAAGTTGATTACTATGGAGGTAGTAGCCAGGATGAAACTAGAAGTAATCAAGGTACAAATTTTGTTGGTTTTTATGGAATTAGTTTTGCTACCAACTGTGTGACACTTTGAGTGAGTTTTGACTGTGTCTATAAATGGTTGGTGATTGTCAAAGGTGGGGTTGTGGCAAACTACAGCAATGGCCTTAGATCGGGAATGAATTTGAGCACCAAGAAGAGAAAGCGGTGGACGGAAGC